CCGCCTCTGTTATGGCAGACTCTCTCTGTTGTGGCAGGTTGCCTCGGCAATGGCGGGTTGCCTCGGCAACGGCAGCCTGCCTCCCTAGCGGTGGAGAGTCTCAGTAATGGCCGAAGCCCCTCCCCCACCGAGCTGGACGGTCCAGGTCAGCTGTGCCTGGTTTGAAGGGCTCAACCCTGAGGGTTTCCAATTACTGTTTTTATTTTCGTTATTGTTGGGGGTGGAGGGGTGGGACCAACCGAGCCTGATCACCTGGCTCCCTGACTCAGAGTCTTTTCTTTTAAGTTGAACGACCCTGTGTTCCAGTCGCTTGTTGAAAAGGCGCCGGGATCTCCTGTGCTGCCACTCGTGGAGTCGGCTCAAACTCCGGCGCCGGCTCCTGGCGGATTTTTTGCCTAGGAATCTCCTGGCCTGACTCGCTATTCCAGATGAGTGGGCAACTCTGCCATCTCAGGGCTCTGCTCGCCAGCTAAGAGGGCTCCCAGACCAGTGGCTTTTGTATGGAGAACCGCAGCAACAGGGAGTGGTCACAGCAGCCGCGCGGGCGGAATCAGCCCCGCGGGGGCCAAAACAGCCGCAGCGGCTGGGACTGCGACACTGGCGTCCCCTCTGCCTGGGTATCTCCTGGTCTGTGGGCAATAAGAGTTCGTCTGGAAATGCGGCATCCACTCACCCTCTGCACTTTCACTGGGAGCTGAAGTCCTGTGCTGTTCTTCGGCGGCCATCTTCCCAGCATTCCTAAAGTTAGTATTGTTATATGTGAATTTGATACTGCCATTTTGATGCTAGCTGGCTGTTTTGCTCATTAGTTGATGCAGATTCTTGATTGTATTGATGCTCTTTACCATTTGGTATGTTTTTGGAGTGGCTGGTACTAGTTATTTCTTTCTATGTGTAGAGTCTCTTTCAGGAGCTCTTGTAAAGCAGGCGTGGTGGTGATGAAATCTCTGAGTACTTGCTTGTTCACAAAGGATTTTATTTTTCCTTCACTTATGAAGCTTAGTTTGGCTGGATAGGAGATTCTGGGTAGAAAGTTCTTTTCTTTAAGGATGTTGTATACTGGCCCCCATTCTCTTCTGGCTTGTAGGGTTTCTGCTGAGAGATCTGCTGTGAGTCTAATGGGCTTCCCTTTGTGGGTAACCCGACCTTTCTCTCTGGCTGCCCTTAGCATTTTTTCCTTCATTTTAACCCTGGTGAATCTGAGGATTATGTGCCTTGGTGTTGCTCTTCTTGAGGAATATGTTTGTAGTGTTCTTTGTATTTCCTGGACTTGAATATTGGCCTGCGTTGCTAGGTTGGGGAAGTTTTCCTGGATAATATCCTGAAGAGTATTTTCCAGCTTGGATTCATTCTCTTCGTCACATTCAGGTACACCTATCAAATGTAGATTAGGTCTTTTCACCTAGTCCCACATTTCGTGGAGACTTTGTTCATTCCTTTTTACCCTTTTTTCTCTATTCTTGCCTTATTGTTTTATTTCGTTGAGTTGATCTTCAACCTCTGATATCCTTTCTTCAGCTTGGTCAATTCGGCTGTTGAAACTTGTGCATGCTTTGCGAAGTTCTCGTGTTGTGTTTTTCAGCTCCATTAATTCACTTATATTCCTCTCTAAGTTGTCCGTTCTTGTTGGCATTTCATCAAATCTTTTTTCAGCGTTTTTAGTTTCTTTGCATTGGGTTAGAACATGTTCTTTTAGCTTGCAGAAGTTTCTTATTTCCCACCTTCTGAAGTCTGATTCTGTCATTTCATCACACTCATTCTCCATCCAGCCTTGTTCCCTTGCTGGTGCAGACTTGTGATCCCTTGTAGGAGGAGAGGTGTTCTGGTTTTGTTTGTTTTCATCCTTTTTGCACTGGTTTCTCCCCATCTTTGTGGATTTATCCACCTGTTGTATTTGTAATTGCTGACTTTCATATTGGACCTCTGGGTGAACTTTCAGTTTGTGGATGAGGAAGTTATTTCTGTTTCTTAGTTTTACTTCTAACAGTCTGGCCCCTCTGCTGTAGGACTGCTGAGGTCCACTTCAGGCCCTGCTTGCCTGGGGATCACCTGCAGCAGCTGCAGAACAGTAAGGGTTGCCACCAGTTTCTTCTTCTGCTATCTTTTTCCCAGGATACCTGCCAAATGTCAGTCTGTTCTCTCCTTTATGAGGTGACTCTTTGGACATACGGGGGTCAGGGAGCTGCTTGAGGAGACAGTCTGTCCTTTATTGGAGCTCAAGTGCTGAGCTGTGAGCTCTGTTGTTCATTCAGAGTTGCTGGGCAGGTACGTTTAGATCTGCTGCAGCAGAACTCCTAAACTCCTTTCCCCCCCGCCCCCAGGTGCTCTGTCCTAGGGAGTTAGGGCTTTATTTATGAATTTCCATTGTACTGCTCTTTTTTTTTTTTCAGGGCTGCCCTGCCCAGCGAGGAGGCAGCCTAGTCACTGTCTGCCTGCAGAGGCTTTGCTGAGCTCCTGTGGGCTGCGCCCAGCTGCCATGTGATCGTCTCTGCAGTCCTGTTTATATAGGTGTAGTGATGGACTACCTCTATAGTGGTGGAGTGTCTCGGTAATGGCAGGTGCCCCTCCCCCACTGAGCTGGACCATCCCGTGTTCAGCTGTGCTTGCTGTGAAACTGTCAGCCCAAAGCATTTTCAATTGCTGTTTTTTTTTTTTTTTTTTTTTTTTTTGTATGTGTGTGTGGGTGGGTCCAGGCAAACCTGACTCCCTGACTCAGAGTCTGTTTTTTTTTTTTTTTTTTTTTTTTTTCTTTTAGTTGAATGGTTGTCTCTCTCCCAGGTGTTCCAGTCGCCTGTTGAAAAGGCACCGGGATCTGTGTGATTTCCCTTGCGGCAACTCACTGCGCTGGCTGAAACAGTGGCCCTGAGATTTGTGGCGTTTTTTTTTGTTTTTTGTTTTTTTTTTTTTTTTTTTCCCCAGGAATCTCTTGGCCTTGCTCCCTTTTTCAGTTCCTTTTTAAATCAGATGAATGGATAGGAGATCTGCCTTCCCGGGTCTCCAATCGCCAGCTAAAAGGGCACCCGGACCACTGTATTTTGTACAGAGAACCGCCTTGCCAGGGCACCAGCACGGCAGCCACACTGGCCAAAACAGCCACGCTGGTCAAACAGCCGTGCTGGTGACCCATGGGGCTCCTCTGCCTGGGAATCTCCTGGTCTGTGGGCAATAAAAATCCATCTGTAAATGTGGCGTCCACTCACCCTCTGTGCTTTCACTGGGAGCTGCAGTCCTGAGCTGTTCCTAGTCGGCCATCTTGGGTCCTCTCGCTCACAGCATTATTTATAGCCAATAATTAGGAAACAACCTAAATATCCAATAATATGGAAATGGATAAATAAATGTGTGTGTGTGTGTGTATACGTGTGTGTGTGTGTGTGTGTGTGTGTGTACTGGGTGGAATATTATATAATCAAAAGTAATGGTTATAAAGCCTGTTTCACAAAAAGAGAAAATGCTTACTATATTTGAAATGCAAATGAAAAATCCAGTACACTGTGATTAAAAATATAAATATATATAGAAGAAAAACAAGAGAAATATACCAAAAAGTTAGAAATTATTTCTTTTATTTTTCATATTTTGTTAATGCTAATATTATTTTATGAATAAAAAATATAAAAAGCAAGAACAAAGATTAATTTAGAGGTTGTAGGTAATTTTTAGGACTGCAACAAGAATTCAGAGAAAGCAGTGGATGAGAAATAAACAGTCAAGCTTGTATTCTCTGAATGACTTTGTTAACCAGATTGAACCACCATTAACTAAACTAGCTATGGAGCAGAGCTTGTTTACTGCCTTCTTGCAGCCCTCTTTTGGTCCCCTCCTTAGGCAGGCATACATTTATGTTCACTTAATTGAGGAAACTTTGTTGTGGGTAGGGTGGCAATTAAGGAAAAATTTCTTCTCCCCTTCATTTATTGCCTTGATACTTTCTGTGTATCAGTTAGTATTTTAAAAGGTCATTTATTTCAGATATGTGGTGTATCCTACTATTCAGTTTGTAAATCACAAGGCAAAACTATGTTAGAGGGCAATATTGATTAATAACTGTTACCAGATATTACCTACACTCTATTCACATACTCACATACACAAATATGCACACATCATCACCACCTCAAAGGGAGGTGTAAAATGAGTCTTCTCTGGAATAAAGAACAAAATCAAAAATCAAAGCCCCTTCACTTATAATCAGTATACTTACATTCTTCTTAAAGTACTATCAATAAAATCTGTCAACTTTCAATTAACCACATACATGAACAGGAGAAAGGCATAGATAACATCAAAAGTCATCCGTACTTAAATTTGGAATGCATTCAGATACCTAAACTGTTCAAACTGTAACCTAGTGCCAGGGCCAGCTCAGTTCCCTCCAATACACCCCATCTGTTAGTGGCCAGAAATTAACCAGGAAGTTGACCCTAACTTACCATAAGTAGCCACAGAGCAGGACCTCACAGGTGCATAATTGTCCCCGAAATCTGCACTCTAGAGATATGGCTCAATCTGGCTCTTTTACCTCATTTCTAATAACCTTTCTGCCATGCAAATCAAATAAATAACAGTGCATTCAGGCATTGTCTTTCACCAATTTACACCAGCTTATCTCCACTGTATTCGATGTTTCAGAGACTGGTCATCTTTCTCGAAAACTTAGAATCAAAGCAGTAAAATAATGGGATATAAATTGGTATCATCATCACTAAGTGCTAGGTATGAAATTTGCTGTTTGTGCATATTGCCATACAGGGCATTTTGGGAAGCAAACTAAAGAGTTGCTTACAAACAAGACGTTAATGATGCAGACACACAAATAATATATGGAAACCGAGAGCAGTACAGCAACTAAATAATGCTATTTTAAGAGCCTTCCACTATGACCTTAGACAATAAGACTAAATATGGCTAAGAAACCCCCTCTTGTTTTTAAGAGGATTATAACCTTTACAAAAGTCTATGTCAGCTGCAATAAGTCACTGCCTTTCTTTTCCAACCAGCCCTGGTGATGGACACTCCTTCCCTATGAGGTCTAGGAATGAGTCACAGGACCCACTGCTAGCAAATGAAGAACCCTGGGAAGACAATGAGGATGACAACCGAGGTAAGTAGGGTCAAAGACTATGAAGTCCACATTAACACAATCAGTATCATGTGGTGAGTAAATAGGGACCAGAAAGACTCTATAAGCATGTCAACCTCAAGTGTCCTGTGGATAGAGGAGAGTATGGCCAGATTCGTTTAGTAACCAAGGGTAGTTTAAATAAGATTAGATGGCAGCTTGTGAGGTCCTTACCAGATATGTGATTCCATGATTTATATCACCAGTCAGATATAAACCTGGATATATATGGATTTCTAAACAATCCCGATGCATAATCAGTTGTACTGCTTTGCTTGAATATGGAGTTCAATTTAATCAATGGGTAAAAATTCACCTCTCTCCATCCTTCTTCATTCACACTGATTAATTTTTTTTTTTAAATCATATACTCACTCTCTTTTCAGTATAGTTTAAATACACTAAAAACTAAAAGATAGTAATGGGGGTAAGCCTACACATGCATGTAGTCTACTTTTCTAAAAGGAAGAGGGGCAAAGGAAAGCAAATTTCAACTTTCTTCCACCAGGTCACTGGGTCATCCTAAGGTATTTTGTAAAGAGCTAAAAGTTGAGTTCTTATGTAATATATCCCCATTGCCAGCCCTATTCCTTGTCTCCATCTGTTGCTGTGCCTACTTCTGTGCCTCCAGCGTTTACTTATTTTGCTAATACCAGCCATTAGAGAGTAGTTTTGGGCTACTGTTCCCAATAACGCAGTAACTGGCAGCAATTTTGTGTAGAAACTTGTAGTAGCCATCACAAACTGTACCTGGGGTGAAGGAGGCTAAATGAGTACATGGGAAAGCACTGAAGTGGGAGTGGAGGTGGAGAGCAAGCCTTTCTAATTTTTTATCTAGTTGGATTATCTAGGCCCTTATTACCTGGAAATCTAGTTTTAGAGAAAAGCATGTTACTAGAGCCAAGGAATACAAAACAGCCACAAATCCATAGATAAAGAAGAAAACAGTTCTTGCTCATCCCAAATAACTTACAATACAAGCAACTCCTTTACTTTCTCCTGCTATTGGAAAATTCACTATATTTTGACCTATCTTCCTTCAGTCTTCAATCTTTCTGAACCGACTTTTACTTACAGCAGTCACTAGTGATAACAACCCTTATTTTGGTATTAAACCCAGACTCTAATATAAGCCAAAGACTTAACAGATCTTTACTTGGTTTAAAATAATTCGCAATGGAAAAAAACTATTCGTATCTGAGCTTTGTGTTGTCAAGTGGAATACTTAAAATGTACATATAGCACCACATCATAAAGAGGTTATTTTTGGAAGCAGTCTTCAATTCCAGACCTTTTCAAAAATATTCAAATATTAAAAACTAGTATGTTATTTTATAGTTTGTAATGTGCTTTCCTATACTTTTTCTTCATATACTTTGACCCTCACAACTTTCAGGTTAGATAGGCAGTGTTATTAATAACATCCCCATTTTATAATTGAAGAAACTAAAATTCAGAGATGTTAAGCAAACCAACCCCACATATCAAGATTTCTTGATTTCAAATCCTGGGTTTTTTCCACTACAATGCTATGTCTCTCCTTTGGACAAGTACATATGAGACAGTGCTGTGATTGCATGCCATTTTGTTATCTGAAGCATTCAACTGCTTTTTACTTAATCATAAAATCATAGACTGTAAGGTGCTTTTAGCTTTATCAAGATGACTATGCCATTGTAGATAGCTGAGGGTTTTGTTTGTTTGTTTGTTTTAGTTCATTGAAGGAGACTCCACAATCCTTCCTTGTAACACATTTTATTATCTAATGCAAGTTCTCATGCTGTATTGTCAGGTTGATTCTATATTATCTTCAGTTGCTCCAATTTTCTGTGCATAACAGTCATGTACAAACTTTTCTTACACTTTTAACGACTTAGATTTCTAGGAAAGGTGCTGTAAGTTGAAATTACATGTGCATGTTGAACTTAATTTCTTTTAGGAAACAAGTCAAATGTTTATTCCTAGCCCAAAATATGACATTTCATTTATTATAAATGTACTTGTACATCCAGACACAGTGGCTCACACCTGTAATCCCAGCACTTTGGGAGGCTGAGATGAATGTATCACCTCAGGTCAGGAGTTCGAGAACACCCTGGCTAATATGACAAAACCCCATCTCTACCAAAAAAATACAAAAAATTAGAGGGATGTGGTGACACGTACCTGTAATCCCAGCTACTTGGGAGGATGAGGCAGGAGAATTGCTTGAACCCAGGAGATGGAGGTTGCAGTGAGTTGAGATCACACCACTGCACTGCAGCCTGGGCAACAGAGCAAGACTCCATCTCAAAAGAAAAAAAAATGTGCTTGTACATTGCATAATGTAAAACAAACATTCTAAAGTGTATATAAAATTGTAAAATATGCTAACAATAACCTGTTAGGTACAAATATAATATCACAGGAACTACATAAAGTCTTCATGTTCTTTGAAATCCCTGCCTTATTTTCAAAGAACATGAGCCAATTATAAGATTAAAACACTGCCAATTATAAGATTTAAAAAAACACCTTTATGAAATCAAGGGATTTAAATAGGCTTTATTATGACATTTTTGAAAATTAAAAGGGTTTATGCACAAATATATAGAAAATGCATAAATCCCCAGTGTATAGATCCATGTAGTCTTCTGAGGAGATTTAACAGGCATCTTTTTATAGACTTTTGAGAAACTTGGGGCTACATTTTAGCTTTTTCAGGAAATGATCCAGAGATGTCTGTTCTGTGACCACTTTTGCTCATTATACATTTTCCTGTAGCTTACATAATAAAAATTAAAGATTACAATATAACTCTTTCTGCTCTATTCAAATTGGAATCCATTTCCTTCAAATTGGATGGGTGGCATCTATGGCTCTACCTGTCATAAGTATCATGAATAGTAAGTTGGGTATGATTGTCAGGATGATTCTTAAATGAAAACTGCTGTGGGTCAGAGCCTGACTGTATGTGAAAACCATAAAGAATTTCTTCAACTTTCTCAGGGTGAAGAGGGTAGGAATAATGCTAATTCCTTAATATTTCTTGTACAGCTGACTTCTCAGTTTTTTACATCTTTATGGCTCTGGTGCTGTTTTGAACGTTCTGTTCCTTTTTTTTTCTTTGAGATGGAGTCTCACTCTGTTGCCCAGGCTGGAGTACAGTGGTGCGATCTCAGCTCACTGCAACCTCTGCCTCCCAGGTACAAATGATTCTCCTGTTTCAGCCTTCCAACTAGCTGGGAATATAGGTGCGTGCCACCATGCCCGGCTTATTTTTGTATTTTTAGTAGAGTCAGAGTTTCACTGTGCTAGCCAGGCTGTTCTCAAACTCCTGTTTCTTTACTGTTTCAGTAGTAGGAAAGTCTCTGCCATTTTCAAAGTATCATTCCTTTCAAATTAGTTGCTGAATTCTTTAATTGTGGTCATTTATTTGAGATGCAGTATCCCTGGAAATCTGCAGGAGATCGCCACAGTTAATATTATCTATGCAGTAAAGTCAACAGAGACATTGACACAGACTCCAGCAGCAGAGTCATGTTTTTTTTTCCATTTGCAAAGGAATAACTCTAGTTCTTAAATATGTATACTTATTTATTTGTTTTCTTTCATTGTAAAAATTCAAGATTTACAACATGATGTTTTGAAATACAAATATATAGTGAAATGATTACAAGTAAGCAATTTATCAAATACATCGTCTCACCTTTCTTGTGTGATAAGAGTACTTAAAATCTACTCTCTTAGAAAATCTCCAGTATACAATATAATATTATTAAATATAGGCCCCATGCTGTACTTTAAATCTCTATATTTGTTCATCTTACATAACTACTTACTTTGTACACTTTGGCCTGCATTTCTTCTGCCTTGCCTGCCTCTGGTAACAACTGTTGTATTCTCTGACTCTGTCTTTGTCTTAGACTCCACACATAAGAGAGATCATGCAGTATGTTTCTTTCTCTGTCTTGCTTATACCACTTAACATTATCCTCCAAGGTTTATCCATATTGTTGTAAATGGCAGGAGGGCCTTCTTTTTTTAAAACCGAATACTAATCAATTGTATATCTATCCCACAATTTATTTATACATTCATCCATCCACAGACACTTCAGTTGTTTCCTCAGCTTAATTATAGTGAATAATGCTGCAGTAAACACGGGAGTGCAGATATCTCTATGCCCACCAACATTAGTTAACTTCTGACTTTTTTAGAATAACCATCCTAACTGGTGGAAGGTGATATCTCATGGTGGTTTTGATCTGCATTTCCGTAAAGATGAGTGATGCTGAGCATCCTTTCACACACCTGTTGGCCATTTGAATGTCTTCTTTTGAGAAATGTCTATTCAAAAGGTCCATTGTTTAATCTAGGTTGTCTTTGTTGTTGTTGTTGTTGTTTTGTTTGTTTGTTTGCTGTTGAGGTGGATGAGTTTCTCATATATTTTGGAAATGAACTCCTTATCAGCTATGTAGTTTGCAAATATTTTATCCCATTCTGTAAGTTGCATTTTCATTTTTTAAGATTTCAAAATTCCAGTTTCTTGTTTCTTTTTTAAAATGTTGGATGTATCACTATGAGGAAACCATACTTTTTTTACTTAAAATTATTAATACAAAGAATCTAGGAACTCAAAATTGCACTGAGGTTTTAAAAATATTTTTATAATAGATATACATATTTAAGGGGCATATGTGATTTTTTATACATTCACAATGTGTAAAGATTAAATCAGGGTAATTGGGATATCTGTCACCTTAAATATTTATCTTTTATTTAATAATATTCAAATTATTTTCTTCTAGCTATATTGAAATGTACAACAGATTATTGTTAACTATAGGCAACTTGCTGATCTATCAAACACAAGGTCTTATTTCTTCTATTGAGCTGTATATTTATACCCATTAATCAACCTCTCTTTATTCTCCTCTCCTCCCTAATCTACTTGGCCTCTGGTAACAACCAATCTACTCTCTATCTTTGTGAGATCCACT